TCCAACAGTTGCAAAACAAACGTTCTGCTGAACGCAGCCTATAATCCGGTTTTAATCTCAAGCAATGTCTTAAGGCTCATCTACATAGAAGTCGTAGATGGTCGTAAAGCCCAAGACACAATGCGAGGGAATAGCGATAGCGATAGGAATAACACAATTTCAACTTATCAAAAATCGGATATATCGATTGACATATTCCATTAGAGCTAAAAATATAGACCAAACAGGTACAAGAGCTCACTGAGCGCTCAATGGGTGCATTCAGTACTACAACCGCTCACTGAGTGCTCAATGAGCGCTTGCATCTTATTGGTATATTCCCTTAGAACTAAAAATATAGACCAAACAGATACAAGAGCTCATTGAGCGCTCAGTGAGCGGTCGTGGTACTGAATGGCTGCGTTCAGCAGAGAAAGCAGCTTTGCAACTGTTGTAAAATTCTTTAATATGATTGGTTTATACGTTTAGATCTGTAAGGAACCAAAAGCAAGAACCAATCGTATTGAAGAATTTTACAACAGTTGCAAAGCTGCTTTCTCTGCTGAACGCAGCCAATGCACCCAATGAGTGGTCGTGCTTCTGGATGCACCCATTTAGAAAATCCCGTATCTTGCTACTGGTTGGTCGTTGATCGTCGTTGGTCGATATTCGCGAGTTCTGACTGGCTGCTGCTATTCCGCTTTCTGCTTTTCCGTCGAGGTGTGAACGCGCCCTAAACGTAGTCAGGGTACATACGTAGGGAAACAGCGAATAGGTGCAAATAGGAATAGATTATAGCACGGAAGTCGGTTTGTTTCATCGGTACGTCGGTAGCTGCGATCGAGATAACTTTTCCCCTCCTTCAGGCGTTTCGTATACGCTCGCTTCCACTCATACTCGTTTTAACATTCCAAGGTTCGATTCTATCTATCGTCTCTTCGACCGACACAGGCCGACACGACACTTGTTCCGTGGTAAGTGTGGCAGTCTGCTGCAGGTCAGTAAAAGTCTTTTGACGGTCCATAGTTTGCGTTTTACATTTTATTGCATGGAAAAAGTTCGCCCCTTGTATATACATTTTGTCATGTCATTTATCGAGAATGCTAATTAATTGAATATAAGTTTCAATTGTTCATATTTTATTTGTCGGTCAATTGTGTGGAACGAGAGCGAGAAAGAGAGAGAGAGAGAGAGAGAAAGAAAGAGAAAGAGAGGAGAGCGCGTGCGGCCATTTTCTATCATAAAGTATACAAGTTTACCGCTCCGCGCCCGGCATTTATCGTCAAGATTAAGCAACGTACGGTATTCGCGTATCCGAAATTGGCCTCAAGTTTGCCCAAGGCGTGCTCCGACTTTGAAAACTTATTCGCGAGAAATCTGTTCGGCACAGCCGCACAGAGTACAACGGATTGTGCGTTACGTAATATTCAGCGCTCAACAGCGGACAAGTTCACAATTGTACGGCGCGTGCGATCGTCTTGTCTGCGGCCAGTTTCACACACAAAGGTCGTACTTTCTGCTGATCTTGTAACAGTCGGTATTTTCGTACCAATTTCCAGGTACCTTATATTGCGTTTCGCGAGACACCACACTACAGGAAACGTCATCATGTACGCCTACAGCCGATTCATCGCGCCTGTCGCCAAATCCACCGTGAGTAAAAAGAAAATGAAGGGAAACGATTCAGCCACAATTTCATGACCAAAGTTTCTGCGTGTATTATGTAATAATCTCCACTGTGTTTGCACATCTTTTCTTACTTTTTTTTTATCCTGATACACAGCTGGTCTCTGGTACCAAGACCTATCTGCGGCCACTAAGCAGTGCCGTCATCAACCATAGCCAGTACTTACGGCAGAATCAAATTCAGACTCCCGTCAGTTTGGTGAGTGTTCTTTTTTCTCTTTGTACATTGCATAACTTTTCGAGATTAAGGTTACATAAGTGACTAGTATTGCCGTTTGAGATTAAGTCTTGCAGCTTGACATTAATAATTTTAAAATTTTATATCTTTGTTATATAAAAATAAGAAAGAATATATGTATAGCTTACTATTGTTGATTATCTTATATCTGTTGCTATCAATGTAGATAAATTTTGATCTTGGTAAACTTACTTTTTATTTCTCTGAGAACTAAAAAAGAATGAAAAATATTATAAACCGAGATTATAAAGTTAATCTATATTAATAGAAGTAGACATTGGGTTTTCCATTTGATGACACAAGTTGACATAAGCATTGTTCTATCTTTGTCACTCTCTGAATGTCAAGAAGGATAGAATGACGCTTATGTCGACTTGTGTCATCAAATGGAAAGCACCCAATATTGTGATCAAGATGATAGCTAAAAGGCCCAGTTCCACAACTCACATAAATCACTTAACTCTTAATTGAGGTTCAATTTTATTCATTGTCTCTTTCCAATTCTAGAAAGAGATGAGAAACAAGTTGAATCTCGGTTAAGAATTAACTGTGAGTTGTGGAACTGGGCCTAAGTTGTATAATAATTATATATTGAATTTACGGATTAAATGTCAACACTTTATTACATAGAATTAGATATCAAGAAATAGAAGATCAATTTGTAACAAATTTAATAACATTAGAATATTTTATAAATTATTATTGGATATTTTGTATTCAGTATTTGCAAATTTAGTTGCATACACTATTGTACACTCATGCATATTAAAGTTGTTTCACAATGATTTAATTTAAGAGTATAAAAGTAAAATGCAAATACTTTGTTTTATAAAATATTTTATCAAACAGTACAATAAAGTGTCGAGAATTTTACGGTTTAATCAATTTCTATATTTATATTCATCATGCACGTGCGCGCGCGCGTACGCGCGCACACGCACACACACACACACACACTATACATTTTGGTAAATATCTAGTTTAGGTGATATCTCACCGATTTCAATGTCCTTTAGATATGTTGTAGAGGAGAGTGTCCTAAGTGATTCCCCACAAGAATTAAGTGGGGGACGGCATTGGTTTAGAAGATATGGTAAATTAAAATTTTATAATACATAGAAGATAATATTGGCATAAGAATATACTTTCACTCCATCTCCCCCCTGCTTCGGAATGCACAACTTCCACACGAAGCGACTCCCACCTCACCCCGGGTGCTCGACTTTCCAAAATAATATGGTAAAGCTTGGAAAGTCGCAGGGGGTAAGGTGGGGTGAAAGTCGCTCTACGTGAAAAATTGTGCGCCTCGAAGCAGGGGAGGGATGGGGGGAGTTGCTTCGCGTAGAAGTCGTGCGTCCTTAAGCAGGAAGGAAGGTGGGGTGGGAGTCACTTCGCGTGGAAAGTTATAACATTATGACTCCAGATAGCAACGTGTCTATCTTGTTGCTGGCATGTTGCTTGCTAAGTATGTGTTGCTATCAGAATTGCAGTAACTGAGTCCTCATTTGTTGGTAACTTGATGCCTTCACGATATGATAACATTGAGTAGCAACTTGCCAGCAATTTGCCAACAATTTTAAAATAGTCATCATCAAAATTCATACTATTGCCATCATGTTGCCATAATAATATTCAGCATTATACATACAATGCTGTCATATTGCCGACAACGCAAGATAACATTGACATAGCTATCTTGCTGTTAAACTGCTGGCAATACATATACACATTGTTGTTTGCATGTTGCTACTGCATGTTGCACAATGTCGGTATATTCGAAATCGTTGAAGACAAATCTACGGTAAGTTGCCAGCATCACAAGCAATCACAGATTTGTGTGATTTTGCTGAGACATGCTTTACTCTTTGGGGACTTTATTATGAAACTTCAATTTATTATATCTTCTAAATCAATGCCATCCCCCCACTTAATTCTTGTGGGGAATCACTCAGAATACTCTCCCTTACAACATATTTAAAGGACATTGAAATCGGTGACGTATCACCTAAATTAGATATTTATCTACATTTTTACATCAATGTCTGCACAACTGCTTTAATGTACACTGATTGTGTCTAATCGAATTTATCATAAGTATATATGCATATATTTTAAAGCAATTTTTTACTTACTTCTAATATTTTGTTGAAATATATTTCAATTAGCTATTAATAAATTAATTGATTATCAAATTAAATATATTGATTATATTTTATATTAATCTTTAGTTATAGTAAAATTGAAAAATCAAAACCGTGTTGTACACTTAAGTATCTATTTTATATAGGCGTACTTCTACAATTTTGAACATACTAAAATTATAAAACAAACTTGTTAAAAATTATTCTATTATGAATATATATAAATGTAAATTAATATCTGACTCTGCTTTGGCGCAGTTACCTATTGCGCGTAGCTTCCAAACTTCTACAGTCAGTCGTGACATTGATTCTGCTGCGAAATTTATTGGCGCTGGTGCTGCTACTGTGGGAGTAGCAGGATCTGGTACGTATCTGCAAAATTTTATATAATTATCAACTATCAATCAATGCAATTTGACAATAATAGCATGAAAGATAATAAAAATATAGTAATAAAATTTTGTGCAGTAATAATAAGGCATATTTATTTATGAATGATTAATTTGAATTGATCATACAATTTTTTTCTATTTAATACTAATTTTTTAACACTTATTATGTCTAAGAATATACATATTCTTAATGATACGTCTACTAACTTTTTTTTTTATTAATAAGAATCCTTGAATTAGAATAATTTTCTTTCAAATATAATTTTAAAAAATTAGTTACATCGTTATTAATGTCACGGTTTATATATATTTTTTAAATGTTTTTTAATGCATTAAATTTTCTTTCTTCACAGATTTATTGTTTATATTAAAATGAGAGATCAAACTGTTTTAAAAGTATAGATTAAGGATGGTATTCATAATCCGTTCTTATTTTAAGATCATCTTAAGTAATATCTCAAGATGATAATGCAGTCCTCTGATTGGCTTATGACATCGTAAGACTATACTTAAGGAGGTTCTCTCTCGCGTTTGATGAAATATAAGACAAGTCTATAATATAGATGTAATACAAGAAATAATCATATCAACAATATCTAGAAAAAATTTCATTGACTTTTGCTGTACCATTTTGAAGATATTTAATTCTAAATTTGTAGAATTTTACATTACAAGTAAATGTATAACCTTATTCTGTAAATATTTTCTCTTAAATTGAAATCTTTCCATATAAGACAGAAATTAAAAAATGATTATAATTACAAAGTAAACCCTTACGTTCGTTCAGGTAAAGTTTCATCTAAATTGACTGTACCATTTGAGAGAAATTTATGTTTTTCAATGAAAAAAATCAATTGTCAAATGGACGATGCGTCTGTGGTAATGTACATTTAATGTAATAAGTAAAAATATGATAAATTTATAATAAATTTATAATAATTGTTAATTTATACATTTTTAATTCAGATTAATTAATTGTACTTAATTTATTATATTTAAGGTGTAATAATAAATAAATATCATGTTCGTATTATTTCGTTTCCTGCTATTGGTACTAACGTCAAATGAACACCTTATAACGTTTATTTTATCATTTTTAAAATATTTAATAACATATAAAATTAACAATGAATATGTATAATGACATTAGTAAGTTAGATATTATTGATAACATTTTTATATAATTATTTTAATCGTTTTACATAATTTTACGAATATTGTGTCTAAACTGTCTATTGATTAGGAAGAAAGACAAGAACTTCTTTAAATATAAGAATCAACTATGAATACCGACCTAAATCTCTTTTTAATAGATTGTAAACAATAGAAAAAAAATTTATTGAATCATGTGCATATCATATTTTGTTATTTAAATTTACGTTATATTTAAAGAAATTATATATTATAGGAGTCGGTATTGGTTTGGTTTTCGGATCCTTAATTATCGGTTACACACGTAATCCCTCCCTGAAACAGCAAGTTTTCAATTATGCTATTCTTGGATTTGCGCTATCTGAAGCAATGGGCCTCTTTTGCTTAATGATAGCGTTCCTTATACTATTTGCCTTTTGAATCCTGTTTCCTGAAACATCCCTTCTCATGGAAGTGAAGTTATAACATGATCTTATTTGCTGCATATATGTTATATTAGGAAAATATATTTACTTATTCGCCTTATATTATTCTGATATTTCATTAAGTAATATGCGTGTATGTAGATAGTTATATAATATATTGTATATATATTCACTCAAATATCCGTATCCTCTCAATAAAATCACTTTGTCATGGGAGATATTCATTCTGCAATAGTCAATGATTTGCTATTCCAGGTGCTGGAATTGGATCTGTATTTGGTTCGCTGATCATTGGTTATGCCAGGAATCCTTCCTTGAAGCAACAACTATTCTCATACGCTATCTTGGGCTTCGCTTTATCCGAAGCCATGGGTCTATTTTGTCTTATGATGGCTTTTCTGCTTCTATTCGCCTTTTAAGCCACGATATCTGCATAAGATATTGCTGATATAGTTTTAGTGCGTCACTGCCAAGACAGCATCGTCTAGCTCTATGGTAAAGGCGATGACTGTCTCTGGTTGCGCGGGATGCCATGAAATCATTAGAGAAGCTCGGATTTTTCATGATTCGGTAGGATGCAACGGCGCGACAATGAGGAAGAAATAACACACATCGTTGTACGAACCGCCGTAACTCCATCCAAGTCTTCAGCTTGTTTATAATAATTTCATGGCCTATTGTCTCATGTAGCGTATAACTCACATTGTTATGAAATAATGAATTTCAGTATAACAAATGAATAAGACATTGAAAGTTAAAATTACAAAAAAAGAAAGCGACAGTCTCACCCCGCAAACCCATATACGCACGTACGTACTGTGTTAGAGTGTCCTATGTGACATAGTACATTTTTCGATCTTTTTGTCATCCGAGGAATTCATCATTGTTATGCCGCCATATACACACGTTATTGAAATTATTCTTAACGAGAAAAAAAAACTGTACAGTAATACCGAATAAACATCTTTGTCGTGAAATCATGAATTCTTGTACTTCTTTATTATTTCCTTTTCTGCCGATTTTCTGTGTCCGAAGACATTTTGTTTTCATGAATTGTAAATTCAAAAAATAATTACTTTACCTTTGTTTATTATCTTTTATTTATGATTTTTGTTTTCTTTACCTTTAATTTGCGTTCCCTGAGCGTCGTATGATGTTTTTTCAGTAATATCAATATGACGCTCCGCTTTTCTTGAGACATTACAGTGCCTCCAGATTACCGCTCTCAAAAAAAGTAGAGATTTCATTTAAAATCTTGTTCCATCTTTAAGATGAAATTACACGAAGCTCGATTTCTTGAATGATAACATACAGTCATGCCTGCTCTGATCTGATGTATGATAGAATTCATTCATACATTGAGCGCTGCCAATCAAAAGAAATAATTGCTAATTTCATAGTTATTTGTCAAACGTCAGACTGTATGCATCAAAGCAAGCATAGCAGCATGCATGCTTATCCAAGAAATCGAGCATCGTGTGATTCCATCTTTACACTCTCTCTTGAAATTACATATTTTTGGAGGATGGAATAGGTGTGATGTCTTTTAATTTTTTTGCGTAGTGTGTTTTATTTATATTTTTTTATTAGAGGTGCGTTTCATTTGGCGCTTACACTCTCACGAGAACTATTTGTCCTTGTTTAACATTTGATAAACGACTAGGATGAAATGATTCCATGAGCGTTGCAAGCGTCAGCAAGTGGAAACGCACCCTAATATGATGATATAACGATTAACTTATATTATTATTTCTATTACAATTTTTTATTAGCGCATTAAAGATGGTTTGATTAAAGGTTAAAATGTGTGCCATTAAATTACAGTGTTTATTTTATTATTATACACAGTGTTTGCTTCAACTAAAGCATTTAAAATATTTCTGTTTTTAATATAATATGATAAAATACTAAACGGAAAAATTGTTTCAAAGAGAGAAATATTATCATAGGCAATGTAATTTTGCATGCTTATCATTTTATAAGATGTCAAGAGCGCACTTCAATTTTTTTAAATAAAATGATTTTTTTTAACACAATATAATTCCTTTTATTATTTTGCACATGAAAGTGTCAAAGTAGAATTATCGAAAAATCAATAATTCACAAAATATTTTATACTATATATTCTAGCATATTCTGACAAATAAAATGCTAAAATAAAATATAAAATATCTTTTAAACTATATTGATTTCTTGATAATTTTATTTAGTACTTATATTTGCAGAATAACTAAAGGAGAGTCATATAATGTGAAAAATTCATAGAATTCTATCTGAAAGTAATATTGAACTCATGTAAAATAATAAGTATGAAAAAAATATGTTAATATTTTATGATAATATTAGTTCCTCCGAAACAATTTTTCTGTTTCATGTTTTATCATTAATGAAAACAACAAAAATTTTAAATGCTTGAATTGAAGGAAACATCCTGTACAATCAACTTATAATATAAAACAAGCCAATCAAAATCCAATTTGGCTCCTTGGATTATTCCTGTTTCTTTTTTATTTTTAATATTTATAAAATACAATGATAGTGCAACAGACCTACTAGAAATGTTATGCTACTTGTGACTAAATAAAGATTTTTTAAACTGAAATATTTATACGGCAGATTATTTAATTTTTATCATCAAATTATTGCCATCAATCATCTAATAATGATAGACTTTGCCAATAAATAAACTTTGTCGCGTTTTGTGTAACGATTCACAGGATGTGAAAATTCTTATCTCGCTGCAAGAAGCTTGAGCATAATGGCAGTAGAGGGGAGACAACCAATCAAATGTTGTATGTATTATCAAATTAATTTACACAAGTTTAAATAAATTTTTCGGAAAAAGGATTCTGTTATATTTATATCAAATTGTTCAAACTTGGAGTTTTTTCAGTATTACAAATAAATTTAATCTCGTAATGTTATGCCGAAGAAAAATATATGTTTAACTTCGGTATATACATACTATTACATTACTAGCTTTTAAACTATATTTACGTTGCACAAATTAATTTTTATCATAATATAATTATGCATTGATTTCTCCATATAAACTCCGTTAAACCTATATATTTCTTAGCATAAGAAATTCACGATTCATAATATTATTACAACCATAAAATATCAAAGATCCCAATAAATATTTTTTTACAATCATTACATAATTTAAAACATATTTTTAAACTATTTAGTAATATTTAATTGTTCTAAAAGATTCTCCCTTTCTCGAAGACATGTCCATGCTTTCTCATGATCCTTTCTCGTCAATGGTACTTTTCTCTGTTTCGCCAAGGTCAATTTCTTATAATGTTCTATCACATCATTATCTGCAACATTAATTTTCCGTTTCAATGCTTGCCTCTTGCTCTCTTCCTGGGCCAGATTTAATAATCTCTTCAGCTGCGTAACATTATGATTAGATAATACAAAAAGTTCTTGTTGACATCTTTTAATTTCTGCAAGAATCTCATCATCCTCTTGATTTTTTTTTTGTGCATCAGGTTCCAAGATACCTTGTTCGACCAATTCTTTATGCATTCGTAACTCCAAATTCATGGAATTCTGGATAGTTAGATCTCTCAAGACGGGCGGATCTCCATCTCGGAATAATTTGTTCTCCATGTTATTATTTGCAACATATACGTTCTCTTCCAAAAGTGCAGAAACCAGTCTCTGAGTAAGAGGTCCTGCAATACTATTAGTCTTTTTATCACCTTTGGATATCAAGTGTGACATATCTGTGCGATTCTTCTTCTTCTCTCTGTTTGAGTTGGATGCATCTTCTTCTTGCAATAAATCGTTATGTGCCCACATTAAGCTGTAATGACGGCCTAAAGAAGGAATCTTCTTGAATTCACTTATGTCCCCATGCGTAGCAATTAATTCTTCCAATAATTTAATATCATCAGGCATGATATCAGTGCAATAGGAATCCACTGATGCCCAAAACTTGTTGGGTGTATCATTTTTCGGTAAGAGCAATTTTGGTACATCAGACTTAGATCCTTCAATTCTTGACATTTCATGTAAAGTTGGTACTACCTGACTGGTTGAACTTCCTACTGTCTTCTGCTTAAAGAGTTTTGTATGTAAAGGCGACTGACTTTTAGTGTTAATCTCCTTTGGTTTAAATTTCTCCTCGCGTATCTTCTTGTCAAGTAGAGAGAGGCTCTTACTGCTCTTTGATCTTCTGTCTTTACGTTCTTCCGCCGAAAATAAGCTGGCAATCTCATCTTGAAGTGTACGATGCCGTACAACAACTGCTGACAAGAGTGTCTCAAGCTCTAGTTGCAGTGTATCAAGATCATCCATTACAACACCTTCTTCTGCTGTACGCTTTAAGATACTAGTGTATCTTGGCAGATGTCGACTATTATCAACTGTTTTTAGAAGAAATTGAGAAGTTGTTGGTTCCGGTATCTCTGAGCTTACATCCGAATTCATTGTTGAAGATTGTGCAGTCTTTCCAGATTCACGTATTTTAACGACAGCTTTCTTAGAGCTCTGCTTCCCTTTTCCAGACATATTTGTTAATGGATTGTTCAACAGCAGAAAATAATTAAATTGTTGCTTCCCATAGAAAGGCTATTATTTTTATAATTAATTTGCAATAGCCTCAAATGAATAATCTTAGGTTACATCTGCAATTATAATTATTGAACATAATTATTCAACATTCGTAAAGTAAATATTAATAATTATCGGGTACTTTCTATTTAGTGACATAAATCGGCATAAGTGTCATTCTGTTGTTACAATCAGAATGCCATGAAAAATAGAAGGTTTGAGTGTGTCGACTTGGGTCAAAATTCTACTGATTAAATGAAGAAAGCACCTAATATAAGTTAAATAATAATTATAAGAAGTAAGGAGCATGAAAGTCAATGGCTAGGTGTTGGCTTACATGTCCTTTATTGCTTATTATTATTCAGAAAACCGTTGTCATTTTACAGATTATAAATTTCATTTATTTCATCTTGCTTTTTGAGCATAAAATATCAATATCACGTACTGCTAAACTGTTGAATAATAGTAAAAAATTATACAAATCGTCGTTTAGGTTATAGATATCACCATGTTGGCTTCACTACTTCACTTTAGGCCAGTGTTGCCAGGTGCTAACGATGCTAACTGCTAGTGAAGAAAGTGTAGTACCAACCAAAGACATAGGGTACTTTCCATTTGGGCTGCGTTCGGAAATATTACCTGAGTGCCCCGTGTATCACCTTAAGCTGGTTCTACAGTTCGCTCAATTAATGCCTTCCCAGCCTATGATATCACGTCCACTAGTGAGACATCGCGTTTATCTTCTTGGTTGTTTTCATGTTCATGGCCGTAGTCGGACAAACCAAACTAGCCAATAGAGATTGGAGAAACTCGTGTATTGTCGATAATTCCATAGACATAGTATCTCTAGACTGAACGTTCGAGGAATGGGGGTAGACCCTGCATAGAAAAGGACGTACTGATTTTGGTTTCTGCGTTCTCTCTCGTTTCGCGCATGCGTCTACTAGAGAGAGGGGACGAAAGAGGTGATGGGAGAAAATAACAGTACCGGAATCGTCGTGACTCTCGCCTGCGAGGTCATTTACAATTTAGAAGAAGAAGACGAAGTACGACGCATGCCGTGGCCCAGTTAGATCTTAAGCCCAGTGTCCACGATGCTAAAAATCCGTCCGAGATCTCGGATGAAGAAAGAACTGACCAATCGCATTGATCATGTGACTAAATTGTTTAAATGTAATTGGTTAATTCTTTCTCTCTCCGAGATCTCGGACCAATTTCTAGCATCGTGGACACAAGGCTTTAGACTTAAAAAGGTACGTATTCTTTGTTAAATATGCTTTTTGTGTTGTAAGTATAAAAGTACGTATCGTTTGTTAAACATGAGATTTATGTTTAAAATTAAAATGATAATTGTAATTTTATAGACTGCGTAGGATGACTTATGGCTCCTACACACTGGACGCGGAAAAGCTTACCGC